ACTGTATGCCTCCATTTAATTATTCTGAAATTTCTCCACACTCAGTACTCATCAAAGCCACAGCGTGAGGAAGATAAGATCAATCCAAATAGAACTCTGCAGTAATCCAAAATGTTCCCATCAAATATAAAAAGGAGAATAAGAAAGTTAGTAGATTTACATAATCTCGTTACAACGATATGAGATACTTAGAGTTGATGTTGTGTTAATAGTGAATACTAAAAATGACCAAACAGCTGAACTACAGCAGTGAATCATCTGAAAAACTAATGTCACTAGACAGAACTATTTTTATACTGGAAGTATTGAATCATTTTATCTAAATACATTTTGACGCGCTTGTTTTGCCGCATCTTTGTCATGACAGTGTAACCGCAGTTTTTTGAATTATATTGTAACCGAACTTTACCGTAAAATGTCAGGGGTAGCAAACTTAAAACACGTTTTCGGTTATCGTACAGGAATATCAGGCTCTGTAGTATTTTCAGATGAACAGACAATAGTTTATCCATGCGGATCGAACTTAGTTTTATATAATATTGAACAAAAATCACAGAAGTTTATAGCAGGTTTGGAAAAGTCACAGGGGATGACAGCAATTGCCATAAGTCCAAATAGAAGATACCTTGCCCTTGCTGAAAAAACTTTGGATAAGCCTGTTGTCACTATATACGATTTACAAGCCCTGCGCAAGAAGAAAACCTTGCATACTTCAGACGTTCACTCCAGTGAATTTGTTAGTGTGGCTTTCTCTCCGGACTCAAAGTACCTTGCAGTTCAGGGTGGGCATCCAGACTGGATACTAACATATTGGTCTTGGGAAAAGCCTAAGCAACTTGCTAGCATCAGGACTTCTGTATCTAACCCAGTCAAACAGGTTGTATATTTCATTCTTAACACATCTAAGTTTCCTTAGATTTCATTTAGTCCTCACGACTGCACGTTAATATGTGTTGTTGGTACTGACATTTTTCGTCTGTACCGATATGGTGAAAACAACCTCAAAACATACGGTTTAATCAAGGTAGAACTTCATAACTTCCTTTGTCACACCTGGATTAACGATGAAAAAATTGTCGTCGGAACAGAAGATGGACGTTGGATTTTGATAGAGAATGGTGAACCAAAGATAGAATATCAACTCACTACTACGGATGAAGCAGATAATAAAGGTGGTAATCACGAAGGGTATGTTATCTTTATGATTCAGTTTTTGTTTGATAAATTTCAATGTGTTCTTGGAGAATCTGTAGAAGAGCAGTGGATGTAAGTCTAAACAAATACAACATGTAAAAAACATATATCTTTTTATAAGTGATGAAAATCAGTTCAAAGTAAGTTGCAGGGTTTCTGTCTGTCATATTTAGGCACACTGAAACATATTTCAGTCATAAATAATTAGATATGAATGTTATTACCCTATACTCAAATTAATGCAATATAGGTAGGCCAGTATTACATAATTTCACTAGCATAAATCTCGTAAATGACTTTTATATGTGGTGGTGACGTAATTCCCTGATATGTGAAGTCTATCTGATTTGATAGTAAATGCTTAAAATCCCACTTTTATTTATAAGGATGACTGGTGCCTCACTTTGGATATTTAAGTGTAATCTCTTATATCGATGTTTGTTATATGTAAAGATTTAGGCATCTTTTTATTGAAATGCACTATGTCAAAAATGGTGGCTATATCATTAAGACTATCATTTAGTGTTTTACAGTAAGACATCTGTAAACCAGAAAGGCTATTACCCTTTGTAGCCACTGTGTCTGATACACATCTACTTCTGTAAGGAGTCCCCGTTAGATTCTTGATAGGTCTTCCTTTATTTAATCCTAGCACCCTTTTTTTGTTAGTCACTGGTGTGACAACTTGTGAAGAACTTAATTTAAATACCTCTTTTGAATAAAATAGTTGCCAGTACATCAACTATTTTAGTAATTCTGCCTAAGATGTTGCTTATTCGGTAGGAGATTTCAGTTTCAGCAGCTATTATGTTGTTTCAGCAGGTAAACTACATTGTTCTTCTGATTATGATGCATTAAATATTTCATATTTTTAGGCAGAAAAATATTTGGTAATAATTAACACTAGCTGTAAACTAAAATCTGAAATTATATTTATTTGACCTTGTTTGCTAAGTTCTTCTTTTAGCTGAAATAGCAACGTGAACTGGAAAGTGTCCAGCCTCTGAGAGTATGAAGGTGATCATTTTGAATTTGACTGTCTCTGCTTTTATTTCACGCCACACCTGCCTGGTATGTTGCAGGAAAAATGAATTTAGTTACACTTGGCAATTGTGGTGGTATTGATTTTTTAAACACTTTGAGCCGACCTTGTAGCTCAGGCGAAGAATACGGTATACATGCAAACCACTATTCACAAAATGCGGTTTGGAAGCGAGCTGAACTAGATTTTCATCGTAGAACTTTGTACTTTGTTTGGACACTAGTCAGTAACTAGTGTGATGTGTCTAGTCCTCTGTTTGGTGCAGACTGAATTCTATTAGTCAGATTTGCAAAGTGGCCATCATTCTAGGTACCTCGCCATCAGCGTGCACTGTGAATTGTTGGTATTAGATGGTTGGAGCCTATCGGGAGGAAGATTTGGACCTATGTTTCATGGTAGTTAGCAATCGTTAGAAAGGTGTATCTACAACCTTGTCGGAACTCATATCCCTTTTAAGGTTCGAACCAGCATCACCCAGTGCTGTAGTTAGAGACGTTACTAATGATCTATTCGAACTCTCAAATTTTGCGGAATTTCGCACAAAAGTACAGTAGTTAAAGTAGCAGCACTTCATGAAAGTAGACATCAAAACAGGAGGAAAAAAGAAGCTCAAAAATCCATAATCAGAGTAAATATAACAGGAGGGAATAGTAACATGGAAAGACATGAAGACTTAATTGATCTGAAAGATTACAAAGGGTAAGTCCGCTAGCACTACAGAGTAAAATTTTGGGCCATATTACTAACAATCTGCAATCACTGGTACTTAGCCTTTTGGGGACTGTGACTAGGTAGTCTGAGCCTCTCGACATAACTCAAACCAACAGTCAAAGACTAAAGGAATACATAGCCTGTTCTGGTTTGATCACCCTTAAAACGTTTCCTAGCCATGTCAATCGATGTAGCTTCATAACCACATCGTGATTTTTCCCACTTTACCTAATTCCCTACGCCAAATCTTGGCATCATGAATCCGTGTTTAGGTGTGGTTAATTAATGACTATTTGTATGTATGAATGCATGTTAACGGTTAGTTAGGTAGATGAGTAAATTCCATTTTGCATAATGGAATACCTTGAGCTTTTATAAAACAACATTTAGACCAGCCAAAAGGTGAGTGAATAATGACTGAACTTGTAATAAATAAGTAGATAAATGATAATATAACTTGAACCTGGAATATGATGTTAAAGTCAAGATTAAAATCATTTATTTGAACTAAATAGCAGAAATGAGTCAATTTATATTACTGTTATTATACTACTCCCGAGTGGATCATAGGACTTCAGTAGTCCTTCATCATTCCTCCATGTTCTCTGTAGTCAATTTTAGCTGGATCCACTATTGCTAATTAGCTTTGCATTTACTGTTTACATCATCTCCTCTGTGTCACCCTATATGGTAGCCAACTGGTCGTTTTCGACTCAGCTTTCACTTGAGAACCTGCCACATCTTGTCAATTAACGGTTTTATTAGTGTATGTTCTTCAATCCACATCCATTTAGCACTAACCCATTTTTTTGGATGATAAGTTCTTGATTTGTCCGCCGGTAGAGTTCCTTGTCCATAAATGAAAGGTAATTAGATGTATTAATTATATTTAATAAATAGAATAGTCTCTTTTATTTACTAAAAGAAAAACTGTTTTTCATTCTTTTTTTCATATATTTTCTACTAGAAAAGATATTGAAGAGGTTAGCACGAAAGTTAAAAATAGTATAACTGCATTGGCATCAACATCAAAAGGTTTAGCTGTAGCCTGTTCACCTGGTTTAGTTCATTGGTTTGAACATGTTGATCCGAATAGCTCACCTCGTCATTACTCCCAGCAGCAGCAACAACAACAACAACGTCAAAGTGATGCAAAATACCAGCAAAAGGATTCCCTCAGTTTTACCGCAGGAAAAGCATCAATAAGTAGTCAAGTTATTCGATATCCTTCAGTATCAGTGACAGGTGGGGTAATACTGGGTGGTGCTACAGAAGCAGTGGCGACAACAACAACAGGATCAGTATCATCGAGAGATGAATATAGACTACTGCGTAGTATTCATATCCCATACGATCCAACTATCAGTATAGATAGTGAATTTAATGCTGGTCAAAATATTACTCAACTTGTAATTAGTCCATCAGAAGATTTTATTATAGCTACAACTGATACGCATCAGATATATCAATTCAATTTAAATAGTGTTGATCTTAGTATAAAAGGCGGTGATTTAGTTAGTAGGAAGAATTTAGTGAATGCTGTAGTCAGAGGACAAAATTTACCTAAAGATCAAATGATATTTGAACCAGTATCACAGTCATTTCATAATGGACAAATATTAGGCATGGATGTTTGTATGCGTAAACCGCTAATAGCTACTTGTGCAACTGACAGAACAGTTCGAATATGGAATTATGAAACAAAGTAAGCGTACAGGCAAAAATTAACCATGTCCAAATCTTATTTATTGTAGTTGATTGTTCTTTTACTGATTTTGATTTAATGCACATTGACTAGCACTGGAATTGACTGTTTCAGGTGGCCTAATACATAGATAGCACTTTGGCGTTTGAAATGATGAGTGCTGGGCTTAGATCTCAGTGAGAACATCATCACTAAATGAAGACTGCAAGTATATCCAGATGACGAGTTACAAATGGGACGAAATATGGAGTTTAATGGGTTCTACATCCTGTCATCACTAACCAGAATAACATCGTGTTAATATTCAGGCAATGTCGAAATGTCCATACCAGGTGCTGACATGTCAAGAGAGACCGAGTATCTTAGTCCAGTATAAGCAGTCAATAAGAAATACGAAATCAACCTAAAATTTTCAAACTCCGTAAAAGAATTATTCATTTAAGTGTTTTTAAAAAAAGAAGGTGGCTGTTAATGGCTATTCAAAGTGGAAGTCTGAAATAAAAACAACTTACCAATGTAACAATTACTTTCATTCCTTCGCATTCGGTCTTAAGGCAAACTTATAATGCTGGGAATGATATAAAGGTTTGATTTTCAAGTCACTGACAGGTAAAAGGGGGACCTGAACCTATGGTCTACACATGAACTGATACAATATATCCACAACTAGTTGTCATGCTTAAAACCTCTTCAGTTACATACAGATGTTGACACATTACACAAATAAATCACTGACACTTCGAATGAGCATATACGTTCTCAATAAGACCATTTAACTCCGTTTTGTTTCCATCTACTTGAATGGTTGAAAAGGAGACGATCAGTTACAGTTTTAAATTTCCCCAGGTAGTTAATCTTATATGATTTTGTATTACGTGATTGGACAAATGCTGTGATCAAATCAGATGTTACATTTGACTATGTTATAAGCGTTTATCAATAGTTTTTATGCCAAGCAAGGCAAGCTTTCACTACTCTCAAGTTTGTATGGAGGTCAACAGCACTCGGCATGAAAAATAAGATCCGAATTTTCAACTTCAATGTGAAGTCAGTCAGTGCTACTATACGGATCAGAGACTTAGCGCGTCATGAAGAGCACCTCAAACAAACTACAGACCCTCATCAACAGCTGTATTCCCTCAATGCCATTCAAGATCAGATGGCCGGTCAGAAACGATCAGCAACATGGATCTCTGGCAATGAGCGAACCAACCCAGCAGGAACCGACTGTGCAACAAATATGCAGGAAGAAATGGGGGTGGATTGGCTGGCCATACTCTGAGAAAACCATCAAGTGACATCACATGACAGGCCGTTGCTCGAGTGGAATCCGAACGGGAAGCGGCGAACTGGTCGTGAGTGCGAGGGTGGGGTGACATGGAGGAGGTCATGTGAAGAGGAGATGGAACCATTTAGGCAGACATGGAGCCAGGTGAACACGTTAGCAGAGAACTGAACGCAATCGAGACGTTTGTATGAAGACCTATGTTCCTCTAGGAACTCAAGGAAAAAATAATAATAGTTTTTATGCAGATGCAATATCTGTTGTGGCGTTCCCCATACTATTCACGGAAACACAAACTTTACGATTACTTTTATCCTCAGTAAATTCACATTTAAAAAGTCCAATTTCAACATTGACTATTTAAAACAAACACTTTTAAAATTACGTGATTTGTATTGAACATTGAACAGAAAATATTTACATTGGATACGTATTTTCATTGTACTCTATCTCTCTCTCTGGCTAATTATATCAAGTTTTGTTTTATATATATTTACTTTATTTCAGTGATTTAGAATTAACTAAACAATTTGCTGAAGAAGCATTCAGTATTGCACTTCATCCATCTGGTTTATATGTTCTAGTCGGTTTCAGTGATAAATTACGTTTAATGAATATACTTATTGATGATATAAGAACATTTCATGAATTTACAATACGTGGATGTCGCGAGGTACGTAAAACCGCCATAAAAAACTCAGATATTTTCTACGTCTTATGTGAAACCTGTTTATAGAGATTATATAAATATATCTCATTGTGGTTTGATAAGAGTCAGACAAAAACCATCTAAGGCTCCGTTTTGTCACATCTAGTTGATAGCGATCATTTAGTGGAAAAAAACAACAACAAAGAAAGCGTTTAAGGTGATTCCTCACATTTCATTGACTCTTTCCAATGGACTCTGTATTTGTCTACTGCATATATCTGAGGCAACTGGCTTTCGAACTCATGAGCTTAAACTCTGCACTCAGAAGAAGTTTGTATAGCTAAAATCCCTCCCTAATAAACTGACTATTCCACTATCACTCCTAATTCCTACCTTGGAAACTCTTCCTTGGCCCTACTGCATCTTTATTAAAACATAGTTTGTTTCCTTCCCTTTAAATCTAGAATTACTTAATCTGACTACATATTTCTTTTGCCATTTGTCTGATACATCTGTTTGAACATTTATTTGTATAATCATACTGTTTTTCTTAATCTTTGCTTTTAAAAATCGCTCCAAGTTTTCATCTTTGTTATTAACAGAAATATTAATATCACAACTTTAGACAATTGAAGAAAATCGTTAAGAAACCGTAGATCTAGGCTGCATTCATGTTGACATTGATCATCAATGTATATCTGAAAAATTTCGTAAGAAATTCAAAATTGCGTCACTTAGATGGTTGAAGTTGAAACTTGCTTGATTTGTTAATTTGAAGCGTGAAATCTGAAGGATTTCACAGTAATACTTGATCAGGTTATGATTAGATTTCTGGCCAAGTTAGACAGTCACACTATCACAAGAGTGCGAACGCATCAGTAACGTTGAACGTGTACTATTCATCGGATTATAGGACCAGTCATTATTATTAAAGTCCCGCTATGAACGCAGTGCACGAACTGAGGTTTTTAAGTACTGTTAGGATAATGGGTTTATAGCACGTTAGGGTCAGGATTACGGTTAGGGTTGGGATTAGGGTAAGGACTAGAGTGTTTTATTATTATTATTGTGATTTTCTATTAAATAAACGGAATTTTTATTTTGAAAAACTATCGGTTTTTATAATTGGTCACCAGAAGATCATTGGTACGTTCTCACTCCTGATTATTATTATTATTGTTCCCTTGGGTTCCTAATGGAACATAGGGCTTCAACTACACGTCTCCTGCATGTCACCCTTGGACGTCCCACTCACCGCTTCCCTTTCGGGTTCCACTCGAGCATTGGCCTGACGCGCGATGTCACCCAGCGGCCTCCTCAGCGAGTGTCCAATCCATCTCCACTTTCTCCTGCATATTTGTTGGGCTCTCACTCCTGAGATGGTGCTATATTTCTGTCGGTAACTTATAGATTCTCACTAGGTTGATTTGAATTTTTTCAAATTGCCTAAACCTATGAGTTATGACTTCATTGATTGGGATTGTTGTTACTACTATATTGCAAAATACATTAGATTCTTAGTAGTTTTAGTGTTAAGATGTCTTCAAACCTGATGGTAAAGTGCCCATGATAAAAAAAGTATCAGTGATTGGAGACAACTAAGTGATATTTTATCCTCCTTCTCAGCTACAACCTTTATTTAATGATCTTAAGCGTAAGGATTTCATTGCCTTAGTAAATATAGACACACCTGCGTTCTCTCTTTGCTAGCGAGGTTGCAGCTGAATACATTGTCCGTATATCATGCCTTAGCTTGTAAAATGCTCTAGGAAATATTATCCAGTCTGGCTAGCAAAGGGAAAACGTAGATGTGTCTATAGTTCAGTAACAGAACATCTGGTAAACTCATGACATTCATCTCCATTTGAATAGTCTTTCAAAGTCATGTATAAGATAACACTGATAACTTTAAAATTATTTGCTTTATTAACCAATGATTGCTATTAAGTTACGAAGTGCAAATGACTCTGATTGGTTAGCACAGTAAACAACCTTGAAGAGTTTTTGTAAATTTAACTCTCTTGTCTCTCATTCTAGTGGAATAGTTGTCATTTTAAGCTTTTGTTTTAATAACACATTTGTCAAGTCTTCACATAACTTTCGAATGCTTATGTTATCTGAACATTTGCAAATGTAATCAGATGTGTTTGGTTACAGGATTTCATCATGAGCTGACATCGGTTAGAGAACCATTGAAAAAAACCTGCAGGGAGTACTGGACAGCTGTTTCGTCCTAGTTTGGGACTCTTCAGAAGCACGCACCCACCGGGATTCGAACCCAGGACCTTCTGGTTACAAGGCCAGCTCGTATACCATTAAGCCACTGGGATCCGATCCAATGGTCCTTGAATTATAACTTCTGCCAATTCACGATATAGCGCAACCGCTAGCCAATGTCTTCGGCGAGTATTTGTCCTCACGCCCGACTTGCTGCACCCTACTGGTCACGACTTCCCACTGAAACCCCAGGTAACTACCTACCTGAATAGGGCCAATCACCAGTGAGCATCTCATTGATATTCAAGTATTGGTTTGTACGGATTTGGTTGATTGGTTACAGGATTTCATCATCAGCTGACATTAGTTAGAGAACCATTGGAAAACCTCGGTGGGTGCGTACTGATAAAGAGTTCCAAACTGGGACGAAACAGCTGTTCAGTACTCCCAGGTTTTCCAATGGTTCCCTAACCAATATCAGCTCATGATGAAATCCTGTAACCAATCAACCAAATCCCTGCAAACTAATACTTAAGTAATCAGATGTGTTTTGAAGTAGAAATGAAAACTTAGATACTACAACAGGGTTCAATGGCAACATAGATTTTGTCATTTTGCCGTCGATTATTGCCTTACTGCATCACTAACATATGATCACACTAGAATTATTTCAAATGAAAGCAGATTCACTGCTTGAAAACAAGACAGTTGGTGATGAAAGTTCACTACAGTTCCCACTTGAAACCTGGCGTATTTTGATCACATTTTGTGTTTTTCTCCATATGATAAGTGGCAATGAAGAAAGCAGAGAAAATAGCAGTGTAAGTGCGAGAAGGTGGCAACCACTGATAACAAGCAGTAGCGCTTGCTAGCCAGACCAAGATGATCTAATCACTCGACAGTCATATATTATGATCTAAGTATGTGGAGTTTCCAGGGGAGGTTGTCATAGATCTTGAATTAATTGTGTTCTCTGGGCTGGTTGATTTAATTGCGAAGCTTTCGTCGTCCTTCTAGACAACATCTTTAGCGAAGGTCTTAGTATAAAATAAACTGGCAACCACTGTCATGACTAGATGTTATTAATTTAAGTCTCTATTGATCATATTTTATTGACTTGGAATTCGAGCTTCCATGTCATATCATCCGTCATTCATGCAGAACCATGGAAATTGCAGGTTACAAATTCAATTCTACGTATTATCACTTTGTCCGAGTACCTAGTCAGGATTAGGGACAGCTTGAACTGATTCTACCATCTGAGCTTAATCTATCCATGTACACCAATGATGAGCTTACCCCTAGATGAACAAAACCTCCAATTCAGTATGTATATCAACTAATCACAAGCGTCATAAGCAGCAGTATGTACCACCTGTATGTCGGTAGTTCAACGGCTGAATGTTCGCCAACCACGCATGTCTCCCGGGATTCACTTTCTGGTTGACGCATTACTAATACTTTGCTTACCCTGTACTAAACCCCGTAAAGAAAGAAGCTCAGTCATGAAGCTATCAATCCCACTTGACATCGTAAAAAAGGGAACCAGAGCTATTGAAACTTGAGAGTTCATGCCTCAATCCGTATGTTCCATTCGGTAAGCAAAGGATTAATTACAACGTATGCAGCATCATCAAGTTATTTTCTCATCTCAAATGTTATTTTATCCTTTTCAGTGTGCATTTAGCAATGGTGGCCACTTATTAGCAGCAGTCAATGGAAATGTAATACAAATTTATTCTGTAACAACATTTGAAAATGTCACTAATTTAAAAGGACATAATGGAAAAATTCGTTCAATTGTTTGGTCAGATGATGATAATAAATTAATTTCATGCGGTATGGATGGAGCTGTTTATGAATGGGATCCACAGAAAGGTGAGTAATTATTATTTTTTTTCCCAAGTATTATTATGCTTTTCTATATGTAGTATGCTGCGTCAGTGGTTCAGGAGTCTGCGTTCGATTCCCGGCCTAGTTTACTAGCCGATAGAAATTCAGGAGAAGAGAAAAGGTTGGGCGTGAGGCTAGCAACCTCAACCCGTGGAAAAACACATCAGCGTTATTGAAACGTCAAAGCTAAAGCTGGAAGCCTCCTATGTTCCACTCGGAACGCAGAGGGACGGAAGTAGAATGCAATAAGTTATTTTTTTGTGACGTTTTTGTTATTAGCGGTGAAGTTATGCATTTGTCGTTGGCTGACTACGTTGAACAGAAATTCCCGGTCTCTGTTGACAAATAATAACTGGTACCCTTTTCACAAATAGTGCCTCCTATGGCTCTCATAGCCTAGTGCACGATGATTTTGCGTTCAAAATGATTGGTGGAGGGTTCGCGTTTCAATGGAAAGACCACCACTCACTGAAAATGTAGGTTTACAGGCTAAGGGTGTTGACGTTCACGGATAGTACTAACACAAGATCTCATATCCATAAGTCCCACAGTATTCGTTACGTATACACCAGAGACAAAGCAAAACACCAGAATGATCGTCTAAAACACAAAGTATATTTCGGGACCAAAATTGTAGTGCGAGGGTGACTGCTTAACTAGCTACACTAGCGCACGAACTAACGAACGAACCTAACATGACGGCGTGCGAAATGGTGTGGATGCTTGACCGCGAGCCTTCAGCTAAACAAGTCGAATTAAATAAGGGGGGTCAGCATCCAATGTTGAGTGGTGAATGTTATGGCTAATAATTTTGGGGAATTATCTACCGTTACACAGTTCCATCCAGATGACGAGTTGCAAATAGGACGAAGCGCTCATCTTAGATTGTACTGCTGATCATCATCAACCAGAAATAACAAATGTATTTTATTGAAAAACATTTGATAAACTTAACTTTCTTAATGTCTAAATACACAGAGTGATATACGAATTACTCTTTCATGAACTGCAAAACATTATTGAAAATCAATGTTTCAGACGAGTACCTCCAATTTCTTATTATTATTTACAAACAGTTGTTTTAATTTAGTTTGCTGACTAACTTATCAGCGTGAAACTTTTCAAAAATGTGTGTGAATTCAGATTGTTACGTTTCGTAAAAGAACGTTTAGAAGCAGAGAAAATGAGTGTAATGCAATAACTAAGGGTGAAGTTGTAGTGAAGACAGATAAATTAGATGAAGACTAGAGACATGTTTCCACAATCTGGAAGATAAAAAGAAAGGTGAATACATCTTCGCCAATATCAACAACTTTTAGTCATAATACAGTCAGTCTGCAATCATTGATTATTAGCTTCTTAAGGACTTCAGTTACACATTCTACACCACCTAAGGAGGTTCATAAAAACATTTGATGAGTATACTGTGTATCGACAGAATCAGATACCACCTTGAGTTCAAGAAATATGCCAGTGGTGTTAGATACCGATAAGCATGACTGTATTTCAGAACCTTTTGATGGATGAAGACTCGATCAATATATCGTCGTGCTAATCTGAATTCTACCTAGGTTTTCTAAGTTTATATCCTTTGTACCTCAAGTTTTGGCCGATGAGGCCTGTTGTCCAATGTGATATAAGGTTCGGTTGTTGAAAGCTCTAAAGTGTGATTGATTGTATGGTTTCAGGAGACTAAGGGCAATGTTTCTGTGGCCAAGTTTACTGGCAGTAATCACATTGTGGTGAGAGCTGTCTGCAAGCCAAAATTGTAGATAACAGTTTACGTCAATGTTCACGTCCCGAATCAGGGTCATGAGAAAAACAATAACAAGGCCTAACCTTGAGAAAATTACCAGCCAGTCACAGCACAATTAACGTGTAGAAGTATGATTTGCAGATATATGGCTTGATTTTCTGAGGAACAACCATAAGGAGATAACAGAATACCCTTCAGCAAGAAAACAACCATTCAGAGGACGTTGCTTCTCCGCTGATAATAATGCACATAAAAATCTATAAATACCTCTTGATTTTCTCAATAAACAATCTGTTGCCTGGCCCTTGTCTTCTGTCGTTACAACATAATCAAGCTAATATGAGGAAACTGTTTGAATAATAAGGTAAACAATGAAGATAAAGCAAGAAAATAAAAAAGGGGGTTGTAGTGAACAGGGAAACTTTGTATTTCTATGAAAGCGCTACTTCACGACTGCACACACTACATGAGTTGATTTCTTTCTCTAGTTTCTGAAGGACAATAAGGAATAAGGGACAGCTACTTGAGGTTGGCCCTTTTATAGAAACTAAGTTTGTTGGTTTTCATCCGTAATGACAGCTTTACTGTAGGCTTCGAACCGCTTTACCGTAAATCAGCATGCAAGATTTGTGAATTCATTACAATCCTTTCTCCACAGAGATGGAATGTACCATAGTTGGCTTGCTAGTCGTTCGAAGGAAACAGCTGCACTCCTACGATTTGAAAAATCTTTGAAATATAAATTCTTAACGTTGAGTTCGTGAAAATCTTTTGATTGATTTTAGTGTACCGATAATTGTTATAGAATCATGAGGCACTAGGAAGTAAGTCGATGGTTTAGTAGTAAAAGACTCACCAGCTACGCATATGGTTCTGGTTCTATTGCTGGCCGAGTAACTCCTAAACCTCTCCTAGTTTAAAGGCAAGTAGTATTGTGACGAGAGCTGCCTGCTAGCCAAAATTGGTAGACAGCAATTTACGTCAATGTTTACGTCCCAAATCTTGGTCATGAGAAAAACAAGAACAAAGACTTGGCGTGGGCGGATACGATTCGCAGATATATGGTCTGACCTTCAAAGAAATGGTCGCAAAGAGATGACAGATTAACTTTCAGAATTAAAACAACCAATCAGAAGACTCTATTTCTCCGCTGACTATAACCTATAATAATGTACATAAAAATCTATAAATATCTGTTGATTTTCTCAATAAACGATCTGTTGACTGGCCGTTGCCTTCTGTCGTTACAGTATGATCTGTAAAGAGGAAAGCTTGGGCCTAGGGTTTGAGGCCATATGTTTCAAGCTAGAATAAAGCAACTGTCCAGTACTGCCAGTTTTTCATTAATTCTCTAACTGAAGTCAATCCATGATCAAATTTAACCTCCACATATCAACTCTTGAAAAACAATGTATACTGTTATTTATTCAATTAACGTACAAATAAACAAACTATCTTTGAGTTAACCGTAGTATTCATCTACTTCATCAAACTATGTAATTTTTTTTCATTTTAGGGACAAGAATTAATGAAAGTGTGCTCAAAGCTTGTGGTTATACAAGTGTCACTGTTTCACAAGATGCTAAAACTCTCTATGCTGTTGGTTCAGATAAGACATTGAAAGAAATAAGTGATTCACAGGTGAGCAATCTCAAAATGCTAACAGAAAAAAAATCTATATTACTGTTTGAATTTCATCATGATAAAGACGAGTTCTGGAACTCATTTAAACAAAAGTAATAATAAGAATTTGGAATTTTCTTAGGTCGTAATTTGCCCACCCACCAAATATTTCGAAAATACTTGACATAGTCTAGACATTTGCTGAAGAGACTGTTGTGTGACATTACGAGCCAGGCCCTCGAGTAGAACATCAATGGGAATTGACGAGTTGGGCATGGTTTCGAGAATGACATGGAGTTTACTGGCAATTCTCAAACCAGCTAACTGAGAATATAGAGAGCTGGGGAAAATGGGGATGTACCTCGAAAACCCTAATGTTATACTTGAAACCCAAGTGAATAATAGCAATATATAATATAGTAATTTAAATGAGTTAGATGATTAGGTTATCATACTGTCCAAAGACAATACCTAATCCGCATCATCGTGAACGATTTCAAGCGATATTAAAAAGTATCTTAAACTGTTGATTCTTAGCATCCCAGTTAGACAAAGTACATCTTCCTGCGTGACTCAAACCAACTGTCAGTGAACGGATGGATTTGGTAAACCGAAATACTGAGCAAAGACTATTCTTTTCAGTAACTTTCTCATAAGTTTCTAAAATTATATATATACATAATATCTGAAAAGTAGTCGTTATTGACAACGTGGATGTTTTTCAAAATATTACTGGGTTGCTAAGGTCACTAGGTTATGGTTCAAAAGCTGAATATATCAGATAAGATCATAAGAAACGCAATACAGCAATTAAAGATACTATAAACAATAACATCTTGTAAAAGGCTTAAGATTTTTACAGTCAGTTAATCGCGGCCAAGGTAAAGAAAGTGGATGTACGAAATTCTTTTGAACACATAATTTTTGCTTCTTCAAATGGATTCAAACGCCCTCACTATGTGTGGAAGGTGGACTAGTAAAGTGAAATTAAGAATAATGGAAATACGGTAGATAACTTCAAATGTTTTTCTATCATTGACTTTGTGCTCGGTATCTACAAGGTGAGATAAAACAGAACTACGAATAGACTTTGTTTGTCGCTTGCTTAACCATGTTAGATGATGTACAGAATGATGAAACCTAACTGGACGCCCAATATAACTGGCTCCAGAGGAGCAATGAAGAGGAAAAAAACAGGCAGTTTATCCTTATTTCTCGAAAGTAAAATTGGAATGGTTGTGAAGAGTCAGTGTACCTTTGCTGCGATGAATGCTCTTTTCACTTCATTGTTTAAACGTTATGTTATTGTTTCACTGATCTTGTCATCAAGGAACTTCAGTTAACCTTGCTTTTGGAGGAAGGTGGTGGACCGGTAGGCTTAACACGGGTCCTTATCACCCTAATCTTCGAAGCTGAATACCTTCCTTGACCAATTTACACTCCTTACCTGAAGCTCTACACCTAACCATTGTTATTACTTATCATATTGCTCCGCCTAGTGTGAAAAGTTAAACGAAGACCCTAATTTAAGGAAACTTTTCATTTCTTCATACCTTCTTCTTTCAGAGACTATACTTTAAAGATGTATTGTAGGACAGAGTCAACCTTTGCAAAACAGATGGCTGCCAGACACATTCCTGTGTACATTACTGTTTGGGCTCTTTATTGTTAGAAAGAGAACACTTACCAGTCGTAATTCACTTCCAACTACAAGTACATTGGAAGGATAGAAAGATGAGCTTATGCTCAGTTCTTGCTACGTACCCTCAGAAATCTAGGACTCAAACGTTTTCCAATTCTCAATTAATGCAGTCACTTAACATCGTCTCATATCTTGGCGATTTCTAAGGAAATATTCCGTCTTACCTTCTACATCAAGAACTTAAGACATTCTGGTATAACCCTACAATTCGTTAACTCTCGTATTCTGCCTA